AAAAACTCATTTTTCTCATGGTAGACTCGATAAAAGATCATTCCATTCTATTGTATGCCTTGCTCATATTTGTTTTAATGGCCATCCTCTTGTTGCATCCACTTGGTTTTGTTCTTAGAGTATGAAACATTTTATGGGCAATCATGATATTATTAGATATATGTATCCCATCAACAAAGGCTGACTGGGTCTCTGAAATCCGATATGGTAAAACCTTTTTAACCTCTGGCATAAGACCTTAGAGATTATCTTGTAACTAACGTTACATAAACTGATAGGACGTAATTGGCTCATCTGATTTGGCTTATCTACTTTTGGAATGAGACATATGTTGGTTTCATTTAAGCCACTAAGTAATGTGCCTTCAAAAAGTAATTGATTAACAATAAGAGTTAGATCATCCTTTACAATATCCCAGAGTTTCTAGTAGAATAGCACAGTCATTCCATCCGGCCCAGATGCTTTCTCTGGATGCATTTCAAAAAGTGCCAATTTGACCTCCCATTATGTGACCGGAACTATGAGATTCTTATTGTCTGTTGATATAATGGTTGTAGGTACCTCAGATAGTGCTTCCTCTATTTCCTCAAGGTTTGATGATTGGAAGACATGTCTAAAATAACTTGTAGCAATGGCAACAAGTCCTTCTTCGTCCTCTACAACATTTTCATCCTCATCTAGTAATTGTGTTATCCTATTCCTGGCTCTTCTTTGTTTTGTGAGGGCGTGAAAGAATTTAGTATTTCTATCTCCTTCTCTTAAGCAAAATACCCTGCACTTCTGCTTCCAGAACATCTCTTCTGCCTTAAGAGCGTCAGACAGTTCCTTTAAAGCTGCCGCAATCTCCTCTGTAGTTGTGTCATTGTTTGAAGATAAATGATCTACCTTTTCTTTCAACTCTTCCACACTTTTCTCCGAATTCAAATTATGTTGCCTTTTCTAGTAACATAAGGCTCGTCGGCAACTCACAATATGCTCCATGATACTTGCGCCAGATAGAAGATCAGGGGATTTCCATCCCTCAAGAATGACTTGCCTGAGCTCCTCATTGTCCAGCAATCTCTTATCAAATTTGAAATTCTTTGATCTCCTTGGTCTTTTTTTAAGAATGTCAGCTAAGATCAGACGATGATCTGATCCTAGAGCCTCATGTACGTAACTTTGGAATGAGAAAACTTCTCATGCCAGTTCTCATTCCAGACAGCTCTATCAAGACGACATCTAACCGTATTCCCCCTGCTCTATTTCCTACCCACGATAACATGTTCCCTGTGTAAGGAAAGTCCAGCATACCACAATCACTCAGCATTTGTTTGAAGAGTAAGAATGAGCTGTCTGCGCGTCGTCTTCCTCCTTCCTTCTCCTCATGACAGATTATTTCATTAAAGTCACCTATCATAAACCAAGGTCCATTTCGTGTTGTTGAGAAACACGTAAGGCGTTCCCAAACTAGATCTCTTCGTTCTAATACAGGGTCCCTATAAACAAACGTTATATAGACTTTTATTCCATCAATAACTGTCTCAATGTCAATCATTCTGTTATACGAAATTAAAACATTAACTTGAAATTCATCCATAAAAAATAAAGCTAACACTCCGCTGAGACCAAGTGGCTCAACGGTAAACAAACGATCAAATCCTAAGTCGGCATGAGTGTCTTGCAACAGCAGCCTTCTGTTCTTTGTCTGAGAAAGAAACACTAGTATTGGGCGATGCTTCTGACACTTCTCCGTAAGGCATCAAACTGTGAGGTTGTTTCTGATCCCTTGACAGTTCCAACTAATTGTCCTCATGGATGATATGGGGATGAATTTTTGGAACCCATCAAACCATAATCCTTGGTTGAGATATTGCGCGTAGATTTAGTACTGTGACAAGGACGCTTAGCCTTATATTTTTCTCCTTGTGCTTTATGTGAACTCGGTATGATCGATCGCATCCGTGGAGAACCTCTACGGAGGGGCTCAGATTTTTTTGAGTGACTCCCCAATGGGGGATTCATTCTGCTTCCTCTCCTTGTGCCGAAGTGGAAGATTTGTTCACCTTAGAGGAATGTGTCTTGCCACCTAAATCCATTAGCTCTTCATCAAAGAGATCATCATCTTGCAACTCCTCTGCGTGCATATCCTTATTCGTATCCAGCTCATCCATGTCGCGTAGTGCCTCAATCAATTGATCATTCTCTATCTCATGCAGTCCTTTAGACGAGAATGTAAGTTGAACGTGCGACCCTCTTATTTCTGAAGGTTACATTCTCATCTAGAGGTTCATGCACCATAGGAGAAACAATGGCACTCGCCAATCCTCTAGTACTTCGTTCCTCTCCACTCATACGTTCCTTGCGCTGATGGATATCCTCGCGATAATTACTTGACAAGGATTTCACTCGGTTATTGCTTGTCAATGTATGTTCATAAGGAACAACATCACTCGTCTAAGGAAGCACTCGATGTTTGTCGTTAGAAGCTCCCTGCTCACAAGAATCAGTGCAGACTGAGGAAGGAGACATACGTATTGTTTTCTCATGCCAGTAAAGCTCCGACTTTCGTGGATAAGGCCCGTGATTGTATCTATTTGACCTCCACTCTTCTTTCCTTCTCATAACCCGTTTAGAACGATATTCATTACCATGTCGATTCCAAGAAATTGCATTGCTTTTGTGAAAATTAATGGCTTTGCGAGCATAGGACTCCTCAGCCATTCCCCCCCACGTAAGCTATCATCCGACCTATTCTTCAGACGAGAAGGACCGTAATTCTCAGCAGGTTTCTTTGTTGTCAACAGAGGTTGATTGCCATCGCTTCCTTGCGGCTACTGTACTCGTGCAAAGACACCAGGACGGCTATTGGTTGCTTGTTGCCGAGTCACGTCCATACTAGGGCAGTACTCTTTCTCATGGGTTAAGAATCCACAAGAAGTGCAATGCTTAAACAAGATGTCATATGTAATCTGAATCGTTACTTCCTCCCCTTGTGGTGAAGACACCATTGTCTTAAACTTGAGCGACTTTTGTGTGTCAATGTCAATCAGCATCATGCCCTCCTCGAGCTCTAATGTCTCGACACGTCCAATTCGACCATCTAGTCCGCGCAGGTTCTTAACAGTCCAAAAATGCAAAGGCATTCCGGTTAACCGAACCCAAAAGAGAATTGTCCAAGGATAATCATCATGGACTACGGGCTCCCATCTCACTAAAACAAACATACAATAGTTATAATGGAAATGCTCCTAACTAAGAACGGTCTTGATGTCCTCTTCCGAAGAGAAGTTGAAAAAGGAACTTTCTGTTACCTAGGTCGTTCGCAGTCATACGATCCTGCATACCCCATTATTTTGGCATGTACTGGATCAGTTTTCATCATTTTGCTTTTTAGGATTGAGTATCTTTCCAATCAAAGACATCTGAAACTCTTGCATTACTTGTGTATCATCGTCATCCATGAGTTGGAAAGGTTCATCGTCATCATACGCGATGCCCTTTCCTTTAGAATCTGTCATAGTAACATATTCGAGACGTCCAGGAAGCCCCATTCAGTAATCAACGACGATCTCAACGTGTGCTTTGTTTTTATTTAAAAAAAAAACAGAGTATGTGGAAACAAACGATGCTCCAAAGTTACGTGAGAGATCAATGGAAACCGATCGAAATTCAACGAATCCTTTGATTAAACGTAAGGAAGCCAAAGGATCGAAGGTTCTATAAACCTTTTTTGCCGGAAAACGTACGTGAGAGTTCACAAGAAAACCACGTATTGAGTTTTGTCACAAAAGCTGAGATCATTCATGAGGATGAAACAAACCACTCGTTTATGTATGATCTTTGGCGAGAGGAGATGAATCACCACAGTCAAGGGACGTAATGATCACAAAAGAATTGAAATTTCAATGGAAATATTCGATCTGCAAATCTATCGCAAAAATCGCCTCGTGATCACCCTCTGAAAGCCCTCATTGCTCTCTTGATGTAGAAAAAAAATTACACTTTTTAACATATTTTTTTTAAAAAAAAATGCATTGCTCTCTTATCTTTTACTCTAGCTTTTTTTTTCTTACATACAAAAAACTTATTCTCTATGAATATGCGTCGTGATATAATTTAGTTTTTTTAAATACCATTGTGTCTAACGAAAATGTCGTATAAAACAATTTTTTTTTAAAAAAACTGGCTTAACAGTTTTCAACTGTCAAATATCGTATAAATATGATTAAAATTATAAATTAATAATTAATAACAAAAATTTAATAATCTTAAAATAATTAATTATATTTACCAAAAAAATATTTAACTGGCTTATCAATTTTTCGCTATAAAATTTAAAGAAAAGTTTATGTACATATGAATTTTAATTGTTAAACTGTATGATTTTTAGATAAATCTTTATAGAGTTATGATCCATGATTAAAATTCGTCCGAAATCACTAATTTAATAATATTTTAGTTGGAAAATTAATTAATATTAGATGTTTAAAGTTTAAAAATCTTAGATCAGTCTATTTTCTCTTGAAGCAAATTGTCTAAATTTGGTTAAAATCACAAATTAATAATTTATCACGACAAAATTAATAAACATAAAATGATTACAAAATTTACAATGAATCATAGTTGACTACAAATGAAAGCAAGGCTCTATTAAATCTGCATCCAATCTCTGTCAAGAAAATGTAAATCATGCATCCAATGGGAGTAACCCTGGGTCTGTTGAAAAATACATTATTAACAAACTTTTAAGCAAAAATAAAGGAAACAAAGAAAATTTGATTTAATTTTTTAAAAACAATAGTCCTGGTAAAAGAGTCTGGACGAACTTCAAAAGCCCTAAACCCGAAATCAGAAACAGAACCCGAAAAGAAAGTAACACATAACGAAAGTAGTTTTTTTTCTATATACAATAAATGCTCATTACAGGACAAAAAACCATATACCCAAAATCTCCAAAAAAACATAATGCATTTAACGCATAAATAAACCCAAACAAGTACTAAAGAACCCACTACTCTCCCCCCCCCCCTCACAATAGCCTCTTCTCCTTCCTCCTCTCTCACTAAAAGAAACGATTTGCCATGGATCCTGGAGATCCCACTTCCATACTCTTCACAAAGATCCGAACTTTAGAACCAGACTTCGCTTCCAAAATCATTGGGTACTTGCTCTTACAGGACTTGAGTAAAAGAGACTTGATGCGTCTCGCTCTTGGACCAGACACTCTCTTACACTCCGTTTGTCTCAAGGCTAAATCCGCTTTGGGTCTCTCCAACGGATCTTCTTCTTCCTCTGCGTCGACGTCGACGCCGCTGAACCCTATCTCGAGACCCATTAACATCCACCGGACTCATTCTCCGAGGAATGGGTTCATGGGGAGCCCTAACGTCGTGGGTTCGAGTCCGTTCCAAGCAAGTTCCTCTCTTTTCGCTTCAGATGGTGACGATTTACTCGATGAGGGGCAACTCGGTAACTACTTGTCCTTCCTCAACAACAACAACAGCAACAACGACGAAAACAACACGGATCTGTTTGGCTTCTCTGGAGACAATGGAGATGCCCATTTGCACAAGAGGAGTTTCTCAGCGAGTGATGTTTGTTTAGGTTCAGAGGAGGCTGGATATGGCGGTGGTGGTTACAGTATGTTTCCTCATGGTGGTGGTAGTGGTTTAGGGGATGATTTTGATTCTTCTGGTGGGTTTGTCGGCTCTCCGGATTACAGACAGCAAGAGGAGATAGCGAGGATGAAACTGGCGCAACGGCAGCGAATGGCCGCTGCTCAGTTCTTGGCGGCTAGTGGTGGCTCTCCAATGTCTTATGATAAAGGCATTAATTTTCTCTTGGGTTCGCGTAATGCTCATAGGTAATCATGACATGGACCTCCTCTCTCTTTTTTTGGCATAATAATGTTGTATGTTTTGTTGGTCAAGAAAAAGTTTTTTTTCTTTTTTATCTTTGTGCATTTATAATTTACTTTAGTGAATTATTAAGGTGCCTAAGATGCTAATAATTAATTACATTGTGGTTGTTGAAGTCTTTTACATATGGTTTTCTACTTTTGGTGTTACATTTTACATGCTAATGGATTAGTTTACTTAGGCCCTGTTTTGATTTATTCAGTTGTTTACCAGTCTTATTCTTCAGTCATTTTGATCATACAAGTGCAACAAGTCTTAGTATTACTTCTATGTTGTGGTGTTAAATCTTTGTTCTTTTTTAATGTTTGTTTTTTGCAGATCAGGAGGAGCAGGACAGTTTGGGGATGAGGGTTACTGGTTTGGTAGTCCTGGGAGACATGAAAGGGATGAGTTCTTGGGGATGGATAAATCTAACTCTGCATCTAAGCAAATTTACTTGACATTTCCAGCTGATAGCTCCTTCACAGATGAAGATGTCTCCACTTACTTCGGGTATCTTTCAAAAACACTATTACATCATCAAAACTTTGGTTGATATCTGCTAACGTTTGTGTGTTATTTTTGTTTCGTTGTAGCAATTTTGGACCAGTGCAAGATGTTAGGATTCCATACCAGCAGAAACGGATGTTTGGTTTTGTCACTTTTGTCCACTCTGAAACTGTGAGAATCATATTGGCCAGAGGAAACCCTCATTTCATCTGCGACTCACGTGTCCTTGTTAAACCCTACAAGGAGAAAGGAAGAATCCTTGAAAAGTATGTGTTGATACCACCTACCATGCCTTGTCTATTTTTTTTTTTATCTCTTTCGTCTTCCCTTATGGTACTTTTTGTCAAACAACAGTAAGAGGCAGCAGCAACAACTTCTGCAACAGATGGAGAGAGGGAACTTCTCTCCTGGTTCGAGTCCATCTGGAATGGATGCAAGGGATCTCTTTGATTCCCACTTCGGTTAGTTTTATTTCTTTCCTCTCCTTGATTCTCCATGTGGATATGAAAGCATTAGAGCTCTGTCTTGTTTTTGCTTACCAGGACCGAGGATGTTTCCTAGCACGCAGGAGATGATGATGAGGAGAAAAGCTGACTTACAACAAGCATTAGAATTCCAAAGGAGAAGAATTCTCAATCTGCAGTTGCCTGACTTGGATAGTGAGTCCTTCCACCATCACCAGCGCAGTCTTTCTATTGGCTCCCCTGTTCATTATCCCTCTCGTGTCAATCAAAGCATGCTCTTTAGATCAGAAAACGCCGGTGAAGAAGTTGTAGAAGGTTTATTCTATCTCTCTCCTGCATTGGAACTTGGCTTTACATATTAACTTATACTCACCACTTTCCTTCCAATGTTTTTTCCTCGTAGCAGGTAATGGTGATTCAGGTCATTTTCAGTCTGATAATACCAACAGCCAAGAAGGTGGTTACGGTGACCATTTCAACAAAGGGTATGATCAGTTCTCAATATTTTTTGGACCTCTTAAGTCTTATGAACTGGTTAATTCATCAATTCTTTTATTATCATTGGTGAAGGCAAGAGACAAGTCTGGAGAACGCTTTGCCTGATTGCTTCTTTGCTTCTCCATCAAAGACCGGCGAAACTCAAGAACAGTCAGAGTCTGAGAAAGAGAACTGTGCTACGTGAATGCGTGAAAGGTAAGTAAGAGCATCTCCAATGTATTACTCCATTTTCTACTCTAAAATGGAGTAACTCCAAAATGCAGTTGAGTTTTACTCCAATGTATTACTCCATTTTCTACTCCAAAAGAATATTTTTAATATTATATTTATTTCAAAATTAGGAATATCACCTTTCATTTATACTATTTGCAAAACAATCCATTTTAAATTTATAGCATTTCTATTAAATACAATATTAACCACAATTAAATTTTTATTATATAAATAAAACTACTCAACAAGGTTTTAAAAGAATACATTTAACACATTAAAAATTACATTATATAGCTTAAACACAATAATACATCAATTCTAAATTATTCACTAGAATTATAATAATTTTCCCACAAATGATCAACTAATGCATTTCGAAATAAAAAATGAGCTTCTTTATCTTTGATTTCTCTGAAATGGGAAAGAAACTTTTGGAACCTCACATTATTATTTTCTTCAATTTCAATTTTCCTTGACATGACTTTTCTTTCAACTTCAATTGGCACCTCGAGATCACAATCATCTTCTATTATCATGTTATGTA